CAGACTCATTTGATTTTCACATAGCCCTGGGGCGGTCTATCACTATTACCTCAATTCTTATACGAGGCAGCAGAAGGCAACAAGTGTTAGATAACTACCTCAGGTTCACATGCTTTGAGGCCACTCAGCCTGGCTCTAGGACTCACTCAGCTCACTCAGTATGTCACCGGGAATCCAGCTCATGTCACCCTTTGCAGGTTTTCTAGAAGAGCACCACAGCAGTCTAAAGGAGACGTGTGAACACTTCTGCTTTGGACACTACTCCTTTCTCATCTCTCTGGTTAACACACTGTGTCTAAGCCCTTGCGTTGTTCAGAATGCTCGATGCTGCTGAATGATGCCATAAAAACCCTGAAAATTATCTTAAGGAAAACAAAAATCAAGACAGATATTGCTATCTATATTTCATTGGTATAGAAACTGGATTCAGGAAGTTTCAGTAACTGTTTATGGGTATACAGTGTACCACTCAACAGAACCAGGGTTTCAGTTCATCTCTGATTTACTCCAATCCCTGGGTCATCTGACTCCATTGGATAGCTTCCCATAACAAATTGGCCTCAGTATCTGTGGAGGGATTGCTTCCAGTACTTCTGTCACATACCTAAACCTGCACAAATACTTGGAATAAAATTGCAGCATTTGTATGTATCTGAGACTCATCCTCCTGGATGCACCCAACCATCTGTAGATCACTTACTGTATCTAACATGTGTGTGTCCTGTGCAAATAATTGTTATGCTGAACTGCAGTTGTTTAGGGGCTAATGACAAGAACAGAAGCCTGTACCTGCCCAGTAAAGATGGGTTTTTAGAACTGGGCATGGTGGTGAACACTGTGATCTAATGTACCTGGAGGCTAAGGCAGGAGGATCATGAGTTTGATTCGAGGTTGGGATATGAGACCATGTCTCAAAACACAAGTGAAAGAAATAACCCAATCTGCAGTTGGTTGAATTTGCTGTTGTGGTACCTGTGAATTAGTCATAGTTCTTATCTGGTGCCTTCTCCTCGCCAAAGCTTTGATGATATAACTGTTCTCTTTTTTCTTCTACTTCCTCTTTTGTCTCTACTTCCTCTTTTGCCTCTGTTTCCTCTTTTGATCCTTTGTCGTGAGAGCTCTGCTTGGAATCAGGAAGAGAGTAAACTAGATGAACAGAATTATGCTAACAGAGAAATGGCTGATATTGATGGGAGCTGTGACTGTACCGCTACACACTTATTATGCACCATTAACTCTCATAAAGGCTCCATGAAGCAAATGTTTTGTAGATGAGGAAACAAGGTTGCCTTTGAAATTAATTTATGTTCTTATCAGCTTGATCCATGGCATTACGAAAACTCTAGCTACGGGTTAAGAGATTATCCTGTTTAGTCCAGACTCCTTCAGGAGAACTGACTGGTACACTTGGTAGGGGGAGGAGCGCTCCAAGAACATGGGCAGTTTTAAATTAGGTGAAGCAAGGGTTCTTAATCAAATATGCTGAGACACCTTTCCCTCCCATCCTTCCTTCCCCTACCCTTCCCCTCCCTTCCCCCTTCCCATTGTCCTCAGCAGAGACATATGAGTGACACTGCTAGACTTCAGGGTTTATCATACAAGAATCAGCATCTAGTTTCTCCCTCTGTCCCCTCCCCCTCCTTCCTCTCTCTCCTCTGTGTCTTTTCCCTCTGTCTTTCTCTGGTTGATAATGGGGTTTTGTTCCCTGGTTCTCAATTGAAAAAAAAAAAAGATGTTTAATAAACAGTTCTATTTATTGTAATCCTACTTCTTTCCAAAACATACTCGAGGCTCCTTAGGATATAATAACATTAATAAAATATGAAAAAGTAGGTAAGATCTTAGAAAAGAAGATTAAACAAGTGGCTAGCTATAGGAACTTAACAGAATTTTGTGACTAAGACATTTTTTGTGGGCTTCTTGGCAGTTGGGGCAAAATAAAAAGTTGACATAGGAACTCCTAAAAGCTGTTCTTTTCTAATGAGAGACAGAAGAAGTGAATCTGGAAGAGAGGAGGCAGAGAGGAACTGGGGGAAATAGAGGGAGGGGAAACTATGATCAAGATATATATATATATATATATACACACACACACACACACACACATATCTATACACATATATATGTATATATATACACACACACATATATTATATGAGAAAATAATCTATTTTCAATAAATGAAAAAAGAGGAATAGACATTTGGAATTAAAAAAAGTTGACATATTGTAAAAGGCAGAAAGGAGGAAGTGCTTAGCAAGTACTGAAAGGTGACAACAGCCTTCCACTGTGGGGCTTCCTGGGGGTTTTACTTGATAGCGGTATCCTTGGCAACAGCTTCAAACAAACACTGATGCGGTTTCAATATTACCCTTCCTTGTAGTTGAAGACACACTGTTAAAGCCCTGTGAAACCCAGCTTTCAAGAGGACATGAATCTGAGCAGACCCATCGTTCCTTGCCCTTCCTTTTCTTCTCATGTCTACTCACATTCCTTTAGAGTCCTCTGTCACAGCACCGTGTGATGTGAGACCTTCTGTCCTTAATCTGCAGCATCATCCACTTCTCATTTGTTGATTGAGAAACTTAGAACTTTTACTTCTTGGAAGCCCCTTGAGATCTGCCCTGTCTCGGTCTGGCTTCCAGTTTCCCTAAACTGACATTGACTAAGAAGAGCCTGGCAGCTTGGATACTTGCTGCCATAGGTGGCCCACACCTGCCTCCTGCATGCCCATGTCACTGGCTCTGGGCAAGGACTTTCCCTGTATGTCTTTGTAACACAAAAACGATGGACCACGTGTAGTATGGAGGGGCATGTGTGTGGTCGGCACACTTAGGGATAGAAAACCTTAAGTGGACTAGCCGTGGCTGTGAATCCCACACTGGTGGGTTCCTTCTACTCAGCCTTGCTCATGTTTCTGGCTCTCACATGCCGTAGTGAGTGGGTCTGAGCCAATGGGAGGGCTATTTTTACCACACGGATTCTGTTTGTGTAAGCTTGCACATCAGTTGTCTCTCTCCTATTTGACAGCAAACATTAATGCTTGAGGACACACTGCCACTCATTTCGAGGAAATACCAAGTATTTGATATTTATCTGCATTCAGATAAAATCAGTTTCGAGTTGTTTCCATAGATCTCAAACATAAATATTTATACAAAAACAAGCTTATACATTATGGTATTTACTCTGTCATCTGTGGAACTATGATTATTTCCTATGGAAGATTGAAAGTTTTATTGAGCATTTATTTCTGCAAGATGCCTTATAGTAAGGAGCAGGTTCAGAGCAGGAGACCACATGAGCAATAGAATTGAGTAAGTAAAATGTTACAGGGAACTATGTTTTATCATAGTAAAATTTGAATATAGATATGAATAGAAGCTGAGAGTTTGGTGAAAGGCTACGAGTTGGTGGATCTTTAAACCAAGCATTACAAAAGACAGGTGGCCTCATTTGGAAGAATCTATTAAAACAGGAAATGTAGTTAGGTTTATTTATACCTTGAAACTTGTGCTGTGTTTTCTAGAAGAGTCATGAAATGGAGATTGGATATCTATGAAAAAATTCATAATGCTATTAAAATATCACCAATAAGTTACTTTTAAAATGTGTGAAACATGGTGCATGGCTCATTGAAATATTCTAGTATATTTCTTATTAATTTTATGTGTTACCATCACATGTTACACACACAACATGTACATATAATGTACACATGAAATTCTTTCTAAAACTTCAGAATGATTTTTAATATTAAGATGATACTATTTTTATAACCCAACTCCTTTGTACGTTATCTGCTGTAGTGTGAACATTATTCATTGTTTCTTTAAAGGACATTAATTCTGTTGATAGTTCCAGATTTACATTTAAAAAGAATTTTTTTTGCTTTATTGATAACTAAGAGTTAAAAAAATATTTTATGAAGATATTTTTTCTGTACCATTAAAATTAATACTTAAGCTAGGTGTGGTTGACTCACATTTGTGATTCCAGTAACCAGGAAATTAAGACAGAAGGGTACCACCGAGCTCAAGACCAACCTGGACTGCATAACAAGCAAACCCACCAAACACAAAACAAAACGAAAACCCTCAAAAATTGAATGTATTTTGGACTGCTTTTGTAACATTATTTTGCCTCAGGATTCTTAGTTTTCTTTTCTTTTTCAAAGGAAATTTGAAAGGGAGTTTGAGGCTAGCATGGTCTACACAACAAATTCTAGGTCAGCTAGGGCTACATAGTGAGACCATGTTTTAAGAAGAAGAGGAGGAGGAGGAGGAGAAGAAAAGAAAAAGATGCTTCATTGCTTTTTTTGTCTTTCTTAGTCACATTTTCTCTAACAAGAGTTCATTGACCTCTTGTCCATCCATCCATTTATTTATTCATTCATCCACCCACCCATCCATTCATCCATTTACCCATTCATTCATTCATCAAATTTGTACTAATTTCCTACTAAAATCAAGAGAATATGCTGAAGTCTGAATGTGTGAATAGTTCCTCCAAAAGTGAAGTCCTGAGACTTAAGACTTGATAACACTGAAGCAGAAAGTGTTGCTTTCCATGTGCAAGGGTTAACATTCGTCTGTAAGAGTTTAAGAGTTTGTGAGACAGCAAGGCAATGCTCCCTTTTAGGAAGGTGGGGTGAGAGCATCCAGAACATTTCCAGGGAGGTTTGGGTACTTCATTTTTGCATTTGTTTGTATGAAAGGAAGCATACTGGACTTCTTAGCACTTGATAAAGCAAGTATGATCAAAGGTATCTGTTCATGGCTCAAAATATATATGATATACTTTGATTTTATGACATATTTAGTGCCTTTACCGTTGCACGGTTAAAATTCATCACATCTATTAACATGGTAGAAAGTACAAGAAGTGATATGCCCTCAAAGCCCACATCCTTCCTTTTTTTCTTACTGGTGGGGACTTAAGTTATTCAGAAAGTCTTTATTATGGTCTTTGGTCTTTGATCAATCTTTTTTTTTTTCTAGATACAAAATTGGTAGAGGACTGGAGGATTTAAAAGCTGTCAAGCCAGTTGGAGAGACGTATATCCATGAAGGACTAAAGCTTGTAAGTTATTTTATATTTGTAACTATGAGAGAGAGTGGCTGCTTATTATATAAGGAAAGTCCATCTACATATTTATGTCTATTTTTCCAATGGTTTAGTCATCCTAGACATGACTGGTAGAAAACACCAGTTGTGAGTGTTGATAGGTGAAGTTTGTGTGTATTTTGTCTCTTAACAAATCTTTTGTTTCCCTCTGGGATTATATTCAGATTATATTAATATCTTTATTTTGTCAGACCTACAAATTCAGCTCTATAGACCATGCTCGTTAATAGTTAAAATTAGGCTGGGCAGTGGTGGTGCATGCCTTTAATCTCAGCACTTGGGAGGCAGAGGAAGGAGGATCTCTGTGAGTTCAAGGCCAGCCTGGTCTACAGAGAGAGTTCCAGGACAGCCAGAGCTACATAGGGAAACTCTATCTTGAAAAAAACAAAAACAAAAAAAAACAAAAAACAAAAAAAAAAACAAAAAAACAAAAACAAAAAACAAAAAAGAAAGAAAAAGGAAAAAAAGTTAAAATTTAAATGGTTAGTTAAATAATTATTCTTCATTTTCAGGCAAATGAACAAATTCAAAACGCAGGAGGCTTGAAAACCTCCAGTATCATAATTGCCTTGACGGATGGTAAGCTGGATGGCTTGGTACCGTCATACGCGGAAAATGAGGTGAGTGCTGAGCAGGAGCCGTCTACACACCCTGTGTTTCGGTCAGCTGTGCATGCACACATAGCTTATTTGAGTCTCTCCCCCTCCTCCTCCCCACTCCCTTTCCTGTTTTTGCTTCTTCACAGGCAAAGAAGTCCAGGTCCCTTGGTGCTAGTGTTTATTGTGTTGGAGTCCTCGATTTTGAACAAGCTCAGGTGAGTTACACCAGATCTGTAAACTGCAACTCACTAACTTTCCTTAAAGATAGTTAAAAGAGCTCTTCTGTTGTGACTTATAAAGATTTTTCATAAAATGATGTATGTTTTGAGCTCTCCTAAAATGTCAGAATGGTCATAGGTCTTGTTATGGAAAACGAAACTCAAAAGAAATTTCTGGAATATTTATTTGGTGTGGGTCTCAAAAGAAAATAAATGCTTAGATTAATGCTGTGTAACATCCCTTTACCTTAATTGGTAAGACTCTGATGATTGTTATGTCTAGAACTCTTATCTGCAGGGATTTGAAGAGTCTGTTTAGAAATCTTTAAGGTTTTTTTTTCCCATATAAATCAATTGCATGAAGTTTTCTCACGAATCACTTTACATTTAAATTTTTGTGTAAGTAATGGCTAAAATTACAAAATCTCCTGCCATCAACATATTAATTAGACCATCTCTATGTTGCTCTGACTTTGTAGCCAGTGACCTTTTTAGTTCATTTCATTGTAGTATCTTTGGAGGGAAATTGGTCTCCTTGCTATCAGTTCTAGGCCCTGAATTTTAATTGTATTTTTATAGTTACATAAAACTGTCTTGTGTGTATACTTGTATATATATATGTATATGTATTTGATCATTAAAACAATTATCACAGAGTGCATGAGTCATAGGCAGCAAGTTTCCAGTTTATATAAAATGCGAGTTTATAAAGGGTTGTGTGTCTCAGCCACCCATTAAGCCTTCATCTTCTTTTTAAAGCTGGAAAAAATTGCTGATTCCAAGGACCAAGTCTTCCCTGTCAAAGGTGGATTCCAAGCTCTTAAAGGGATCATCAATTCTGTGAGTATGCCTCTGAGGTCCGGAAGGCTGATAACTTCACATGCTTTTCAAGCTGTAAGAGCAATTTTCCCATGTGGAGCAGGTGGGCAGTGTGTAGCGCAAAAGAAGCTTTGTTTGTTGCTGCCAATATGAGGTAATTCTAAAGACCCAGATGTCTTTGTCCATGAGACTTGACACTGTTTTCCATGTGTGCTCTGCAATCCTGGGCTGGTGATTTCTAGTTTAAGATTTTCACAAACTGTCTCCGACATCTCCACCCTTTCAGCGTGGAGTTAACCACCTTATACCTTGAGAGTTTCTCCAGGCTTTATAGGAGAAATGTAAAATAAAAAATTTGATTGGAATGCGGGATGACTGCTTCCTCCACGCCTGCTTGTGGATTAGTCAGGCAACTTGATCCAGCGGCTGAAGGTTTGATGGCAGTTGTTCTTCCCATTTAAATGATTAATAGTTTCCCTGGAGCACATAATATTTCTGTTTGGGATTCAGCAGCGTCTTCCCTGGTGACTGTTAGACTCGGGCTCTCCTGAGCGGGGTCTGGCGGGGAAGGCGAGGATTGAAATTTGGAGTCGAGTTCCTGGCTCTTGCTGGGGAGGTTTATGTTTCATTTTACTGCCTTTTGCTAGAAGCACTAGGAACAGTTGCTATTAAGTATTTATGATATTTGGTAAACATCACCCTAAACTGCAAGTGAGTATATATCTCTAAGCAAAATCTTTTCCTTTAATCTTTAGGCATTTATAAAAGGGAAAAGTATCTCACTGCCACCATTTGGTTCCGGCATTTTAAATTTCTCTTTAAAGATCATGTTCCTGAGACAGGCAGGGTGGGATTTATTGGCTTTACTTTTACAAGAACTAATGGAGTTTTTAGAGAAGACATATAAGTTGGTTCAGTCACATCTAGTGGACATCCCAAATGTAAATGCAGAATAAAATGGAGATTAAATCATTGCAGGATTTTAGTAGATTATTTAGTTTTGATTTTTAGGGAAAAATTGCCACGTGAAAAATGGTTAAGTTTTATGGCTAAGTTCAGGGTAAATAACAATATAATGTAAAATTTAAAATTCAAGGGGAGGGAGGAATAATTGACTCCCCGTAAACTGGTCAGTGGTGTGTATTTTTGATAGATTTTTATTGTGCTTAGGGATGTGCATGTAAAGACCTCTCTGGATTAGTTCTCTGATTTTGTGTTGCTGTTGTTCTATGCATCTGAAGCTTAACTCAGAATCTTCTAGGTGACAGCCTAGCTTTCCAAAACTATGATTGGGGGATAGAAGTACAGTGGTTTTTCCCTTCAGGGAAACTTTAGGATGTGATTTAAGTACTTTGCAGCCTGTCTGCACTGAAGCTCTTGGTGGATGTTAGCTTGAATAAGTTATGTCAGAAGAATCAGCAGGAAATTAGACACTGAGTCACATTGAAAAACCACTTGCATTTCGTCTGGAAGGTGCAGATGGGCACCCTGTTATTAGCACAGTTCAGCTCCAGCTACTCTGTCACCTCAAGGAACACCCCCTTGGGAAACCTTGCAGGGTCTGCAGGTGGAAGCTGGAGACCAACAGCAGTCTGGTCTTAGTAATGCCCGACGTGTTCATCCATGAGATGCCAGCTTGGGGGTTGCACCTCTTTGTAGAAATAAGATGCAATTCAACCAGGCCATCTCTTTTTTTAGGACAGAGGTTACTCAGTCCCCAAGAATATATAAGACCCTTGTTTATTCTTAAACTTGAATTGTATTTTATAGTTACACGCTACTGTCTTGTTTGAAACATGTATTTGTTATTTATAATAGATATAGAATGTCTTTCAGAGTGAGTTATGCTTTATCACACCGATGACTGAAATTGTACTGTGGTGTGTACTTAAATAAAGCTAAGCAGATGGAATAAATAAGAAAGAACATTTCAGTCTTTCAGAGAAATGAGAAGAGGGGAGTTGTAGTCACTCCAGGGGATTCCAAAGAAACTAAAATCACACTTGGTATCAAATGCTAACGTGGATTGGATATAAACTGACGTGAAGACAGGCTTGGTTTGGGTATGCGATGCTATAGAAGGCTTTTTATGGTGGGATTTGAATGGGACTCTCACCATTGGAGTGGGGCTAATTATTAACAAAGCACACTTGACTAGAATGGCCTGGGCTCAGTGATTTAAAGAGTAAATGTTGACTGGTACCATTGACTAAGATCATGAAGATTTAGGCATACTCGGATGAGTTTCATCTCATACATGAAATGGAAGGTTAATTTAGAGCCTGGTATTTGTATGATGGTCATGAAGATTTAGAGAAAACAACAAACAGTAATGGGTAAGGCAATGTATAGAATGGAGTCGTGTGTTCACAATCTCTTACAGTTGTCCTTGTGAAAGAGGGAAAAGGGGTGGAGACAGTCTGAGGCTGACAGTAGGAGGACAGGCATGACTTCCAACCTGCTGCTATGGAGCCATGTGACTTGGAATATATCCTGTAATGTAATTCTCTTGAATTTTAAATTTCACCTGAGGGAATGGAAGTGATGAGTTGTATTTCGTTAGATGGTTAAGAGTGTTCCAGGGCAGAGATGTTGGACTTGAAAACACCTGGTGGGGAACTAGGAAAGCAGAGCTCAATAGCCATATAAGATGCAGCAATTGATCCATCTGTGAGGCAATCCATTAGGAAAGATGTTCAGCAATGTGTGTGACAAAGTCCTAGGGATAATAGGACATAACTGTACGGGGATTGGATTCACATAACTATATAAATTGAATTCAGCAAGCAGGTCATAAAAAGGATTTCTAGATGGTATGATAATCAATGTCAAGGGTTTGGCCAGACATTACTTCCAAATCTTCAGGTCATGGGATCAAGACTCAGTCCCAAACTGGGTAATGAGATCTGTATTTGCTAGGTCAAAAGTTATGTAAAATTTCAGGACCCCACACTCACAAAAAAAGCCACAATTTCTTTTGAGGGAGCATTCTTTTCCAGTGCTACTTAGATCCAGGTTTCAAAAGGAAAGACTATACTCAAAGAATCATAGTTTCTTAAGGCAGAGTATTTTAGCTTGTTAAGCATAAAACTAACTCAAGGACCTAACCAGGGAAGCATCCAGCAGGTTCTCGCTCCTGGTCAGAATGAAGTCAAGAACAGGGTGAGCAATAGGGATACAATTCTTACGTCATGCTGCGCGGACTCCTACGCATAGGGTGTTATTAGTGCTGTAGTCATGTTGTTTGTGATAGACGGGTAATAAAACGGTGAATTGGGGTGATTAAAAGTTACCAAAACCTGAGAGATCTCTGGATCATAGGACTAAGGAACAAAAAAGGAAGTCAAAGGTAACAGCAGCCTTTGGCTCCTAAGACGGATAACTAGCTGAAGGCAGAGTGAAAACTTCTCATACACAGTGGGCGGAAGTTTCCTGGACAAACAGAAGAGCTCAGCAGAGAGGGGAATCCAATTGATTTTGAGAGAGAAAAAAAAAAAAAAACCAGAGGAGGAATGTCCCTTAGAAAATTGGAAGACAAATTAAATGTTAAGGTTGGAAATTTTAAAAATTGAGTCATTACATCTCCCTTTGTTATTTCCCCCACCACACTGACTACAAGCACAAACAATTTCTGTTTTTCTAAACTTGAGATTATTTTTAAAAAATTGTAGTCATTAAAATTGTTTTTGGTTTCCTGAGAAAATGATTGCAAGATTTATATTTGAAATGAAATTGTATTTGAACTACTAAAAGTCAGACCCAACTTGTGAGCATCCCGTGGTTCAAGGTCAGTGATTCATTACACAATGCTGTGGAAGAAAAGATAAAAATAAAACAAACCCACAGATTGATGAACAGTCTAGAAAGAGCAAAAATAAAATTGCTCTGTGGAAACTCCCTTGCTTTTATTTTTCAAAGTAGGACCATGGATGTTTCACTACTTGGAATTATTTATACAAGTTTTGTTTTTAATAAGAGTATCTTGGAGAAGATTAAACAGAAAGAGATGAATCCATCATGAAGCTGGCTTCGTAGAATAACTGTGATCAGAAACTTAAGAACACTTATAGTCAGGGTGACTGTGGCTAATGAGAATGTGTTTGGAAAAAGAGCTAACATAAAGTACAGGTGCATAAAGAAGAAGCGAATAATCCCAGGCAGTGCGTATTCAAGTAACATTGCAATAGATGCTTTCTAGGAGGAACTGTACAATGTAGATTTAAAAAGTCACTTCATCCATAGTGTTGGGAATATAAACATTGGCATCTGGTGTTAACTTGTTTCTAGTCATGTTCATTGTTGTTTTGTTTGAAAAAAATCTGAGTGGGTATAGAACTATGTTATAATAGAAAGGGGAAATACTGCAAACTCGGTTCTCTCTTGGTAAGAAGAGAAACTGGAGCCTAAAAGCTGAACACCACAGTGACTTCAGTGACCATCTTAGCTGGGGAAACCTGTATTTGTAAAATCATGGTTGATGAAAAGCGCAGAGCTTGAGTGACTATAAAGATTTAGTCTTGAGAAAAGAAACCAAACTGACAAGATTTATTCAAACCTGGAATCAGTTTTCAGGGTGCTGCTTAGATACTACAACATGATCACCAAGGATTAGAACACAGGCTCCTTTTTTTCCTCTTATCTAAGGTTACAAAGGTTTCTTAGCTTTTATTATACTCAAGCTATTAAGAAAAGTACAAAATAATCTTGTGTGGTGATATATTGTGCACCCTAATAAAATTTGCCTGAAGATCAGAGAACAGAACAAGTCACTAAATTAAACATAGATGCCAGGTGGTGGTGGCACACACCTTCAATCCTAGCACTCCAGAGGCAGAGATCCATCTGGGTCTCTGTGAGTTCAAAGCCACCCTGCATTATATGAGATTGACTCAGTCTAGGAGAGAAACAGAGCCAAGCAGTGGTGGCACACACCTTTAATTCCAGTACTTGGGAATCACACTAGAGACCTTTTCAGGCTGAGGAGTTGGTGAGGTAAGAGGTGGTAGCTGTGACTTGTTCCT